TACATCCCAGCAGTTCAGAGAGGAACTTTGCCATATAAATGTGAGTTTTGTTCGTTACCCAGTAGATGGAAAACACCGCTGTACTTTCATCTACAGGTCGCCTTCCTTGCGCCAAAAGCAGTTTCTTACTTACTGCTCAACAGACAATTTGTTCCCTTATTCGCCATTTGAAAAAGGATTTGACACAGAACTGACAGAAATCCATTCATAATCTGTGACAGTTCCTTTGTCTTGTGAGGGACGCGTGTGTTAGCATCCGCTGGAGTCGAGCACATAGAACGCCACGGTAATCTCTCTGTGAGAGGAGGAGGAGGCGGAGGATGAAGGGACGCTGCATATGAAGCTCCGACAGGTTGTCTTTAGGAATAAAAAACGAATACAAACAGTCACGGCAACTGTACTGACCGTGTTAAAACTAAACCTGACGTTTAACCTTTATACTATACCACGTGCTTGTGGAAGGTGCTTCAAGGAACCTACAAACGTCCCTGATATGTCAAGAGACATTTAGGAATCATGTTCATTTTAAGTTCTTATATCACTGATGGTAGTTCAGTAGTGCACATTTTGCATAAAACGATTTTTTTCAAGCTCAAAATGAATAGAAACCCCCTCTATTTGAATATAAACATTTTCAAATTGACATGTGTTCAGTTTGTTCAAATACATTTTTTCCAAACAAATTAATTTTGAAGTAAACATCACAAGACAGTACGAGTTGTACAGCAGTTCATGTTGTTTTGGTCCTCTTCCAGGTGTTGTTTCTGTGTCACATGGCCTTCATTTAAGAATGAAAGAGAGGCTCTGGTGGTAAGAAACCAGGAAGTAGAGGTAAACAACCATGGCATTGATAGCAACCCTGGAACTACTGCCAAGATATTTCATCATTTATGTTAAAAACATAATCATAAATTTTAAATCTCACAAGCTTTTTTTATTGAAGGCTACACAACCAGAAAGTAATGTTAAACATATTACATTATTAGTCAGATAATGACTAGAATGCATTCCTACAGAGACAAACTAGGAACTTGCACAACAGTAAAATATCCTTTTTCTTGATTTTCTTCGTACTATTTCTTGGCTTTCATTCCTTTCATTCCTAAAATGGTGGCCATGTAAAATAACTTGAATACTGATATCATTCTATTAATGTAATAACGATAATAGGGATTTGGGATATTTTGTGATTCTTTTTTTATTGGTATTGCACATTCTACACTCACCAACAAAAGTCTCTCAACTCAAACCCAAAACTGAAATACTTGCATTTGGAACTGGATATTTTGATGCAAATGGACACTTTTTTTTTTATAGTGTTTATTACACAATATTTGGTATTGTTTTGTGTTATACCTTACCTTTATTTGTTTGATGCATGATATATTTTGCACAAAGATGAAAAAAGTGGCTGGAAGGAGGAAAAGGAACATTACTTAACTATTTACAGGTTTATTTACACGCTTGCAAAAACAGTACAGAAGTACAGTGTCCCTTAAAAGGAACAGAACACAACCAGTCTCAGGAAGATAACCCCAAAAGGAGGAGTTTGCACCAGTGGGACCTACAATGTCTTCAGTCAGATGACGGGAATGAAGGTGAGTAGAAAGTGAATTTTATGAGTGTTCAGAGGAAGTCAATGGAGTGATTGAGGAAGAAGAGACCCAGTGAAGAGCACAGGAGAATCCAAGTTGACAGGTGGCCAAAATGTGGAGTCAGAGGGATGTAAACCATAGGTCTGACAACTGAGGATGAGAGGCGCTGAGGTGTCTTCTGATTGGTTCATAGGAGGATTGTCTTGAGGTGAGTTGAAGGGGCGGGGGGGTGTTGCTGCTGGTTTTTTCTGAGCACACAGAATCGCTTTCAGAGTCTCTGGAACCTCTCTTTCCTTATGTCCTGGAGATGATCTGAATGTGTACAAATTCACACATGGCCCTTAATCTGTTGAGGCTTTAACATACTGTTGAACCAAATAATGCAAATAGAACAGCTGAAATATGAGACACATGCTGCTTTTGGTAATGAAATATTATTTGTTGACAAATTCATGTTTCTCAAATGTGACTGAGAAACACTAAACAAATGGTTGTCTATGTTGCCAAGCTCAGACAAACTGAGGGTTTTCAGAAGCAGGTGTTTGGCGCTAATAGCGTTTTGGAGCTACTGCTGGAAATCAAGCTCCAGTTTAATCCAGATCAGCTCATTACATTTTAATTTAGAGCCAAACACTCACGTTCATGTTGGTTTTACATAATCTGATCATATTGTGGAACTGAGGTCCACAATAAAATAATGAGTTTTTTTGGGTAGTTCAGTTTAGGTGAAAATTTACTTGATTTAACATTTTTGTGCATCTGAAAACATGAAATCATATAATGATAACCTAGCAGATGAATGAAAAATCCAAAATACCAACATCACATAAAGCCAAATCAATGACAACCACCAAGTGTGCAGGTGATGATGAGAAAGCCACATCTGGCTGCCTGCTACGGAACAGCTAATGCTGCGTGATGTTCGACCTCGAATATCATGCACAGGATGAAGCAGATGCATCAAGTGAATATTTAATCAAGCAAACCGAGATCTCCGATTGGGGCTCAGCTTTGAAATATGTGCTTTCCAAGCAGCTGAAAGAGGTCTCCATGGTAATACAGAATTTTTCCAATTTAAACCTTGTTTTTTTTACAGTTACATCATGTTTCCTCAGTTATTATGCTGGAAAGGGTATCAGCAAAATTGAACGTTTCATGTTCTGCTGGCCAGCTCTGAGTGACGGTACTTTTAAGCATTGTAAAACTCATAGTGTTACCTTTAACACTGGGGCAGTGTTTGTATTGAGGCACACCATTGACACCAGTTGTGTTGATTTAACATTATGAATTTTTCTGCATGTTTGCCTTTCAAAGCACTGTTTTTTTTTTGTTCAAATTTCAGTATTTTCTTTCTTTTTTTCTTGTTCTCATCAAAGGTATTGAGCCAAGGTTTTTTACTTTTCATCTCCAGCTGCACATCTGCGTGATGCTGTAGTTCCACACCACACACATACTGTATTGCACACACATGCTGCAGTAAAGCAGTAGATCTCTTTTGATCTCAGCCCTTCCAGAATGTGCTGTGTGCAAAATCTGCATCGGGCACCAGCTCATAAAGAAGTGGTGACTGCAGAAAAGGCACAGCAGCACCTGATTTATCTCCTACAGCTGCTCTCGGAGTGAGGCCAGGCCCATTAGAAAATGAGCTTTAAATCACACTGGTGCTTAAACCCTCTGCCTCGTTTTCTATTCCTTTGCACCTTTCAGATGCTGATGCCAGGAGTTTGGACAATGCGCATGGTTGAATATAGAAGGACAAATGAAAACTCTGGATATTTTTTATTATTATTGTTTCATTTACTCTCACAGATGCATGAGCACCATTTGGCTTTGACTTTGTTTATCTCTCACAAGCAGCTTGATTAACTGTGTGTGAAAATGTCAAATTTGAATGTATTATATTTCTACATACCAACGCTGAAAATACCAGCAAACTACTCTCCCGCTCTGCCCACTTTACACTAAAATAACAGAATTTTGTACATCTTGTATTTATTTTCTCACTATAAGACAAACACAACCTTATTTGTGAGCTTTTGTTTTAAACTTTCTTCTTTTTTTAGGTTTTCTGATCCTGAAAGCTGACCTAATGCTGTTTCTTCCACACTGATGCTTTTACCTCACTCCAGCTCGGACACACAGAGTACACTTGTACTCCTCATGCTCATTATGTCATTATTATAAATATGAATAAAAATATGATTATTCCTTATTAAATGATTTACTTTTGTTATATGTTAAAGAAGAGTTATAGGTGTTGCTTAATAAAGATCTGCTGCGTCATACCCAAACTTTTTTTTTAATACCCAAACCTTCTATATTATCTCTGGCATCTCTTGCTTTTAGTTCAGCTGCCTCTTCTTTTGAAAAAAATCTGCCTCCGGATATACAAAATAGTCCTGATTTGATCATTTTAAAGCAAGTCTTAAAACTTTCTTCTTTAGACAGGCTTATATTGTGTATTGTTACATTGTTGTTTTTTTACCTACCCTGCTCTATTACGGTTGTGTTTTTTTCCCTGTTTTATACTTATGTTTTCACTGCTGTTTTACTTTGTGCTTTTGAATGGTGACCTTGTGTGGCAAGAAAGGCGCCTCCAAACAAAATGTATTATTATTAGTACATCTATTTTTAAATGCATCAGCTCTCTACAGTTTCCTGGTGGCCATGCGACCCTAACCGCTCACTATACCACCACCCATTATGCCACCAGAGCTGAAAACTGTTTACTTAAAAATGATAATTCATCAGAATTTTTGACTCCTGAGAGCTTTCATGTTTGCTATGAATGTGAGCATCCATCAAGAGTGCTTCACATCTGTGCAACATGCTTCATTATTCAGAACCTCCTCGCCCACATCATCTGCAAATTCCATGGCATTAATGAATAGTCAAATGAACTCGAGTAAAGTGTAACATCAGGGATATCTGTTCAAAATGTTTCTATACAGCTTATAGTGAGCTAATATATAGTGCACACAAATATGTAAATCAAAACAATATTTGTAGCTACGGTTTGCCTTCAAATCAGTGTCATTTCTTAAAGGTACACCTGAAGTCAGGAAATCTGTATAATATGTAGATGTATGATAGACCAATTATACACAACACTAGGTGTAAATTCAGCAATGAACTGAAACAGAAACAGCTGTGTAGGAAGCTCATAACTGATAGCCAAACTACAATATAAAATTGAGGTTGAGAAAGACAGGAAAGCTGGAGCACAGCAACAAGTCACAAGGTAGTTCTACTGCATCAACAAGGTCTCTCCCAGACACAGATTTCAAAGCAGACTGGGATTTCAAATAGGCAATATGATGTTGTTGTTTTTTTTGCTCAATCACTGTATTTTGTTCATTGACAAGAACAATTATTAATTCTTTTAACAGCATTATTTGTTTGGGAGCCGCTGTGGCACAGTGGGTAGCTCTGTTGCCTTGCAGTCAAAAGGTTGTTGGTTCAAGGCTCGCCAGTGACCTTCCTGAAAGGAAGTGCTTGCGTGGGTTTTCCTTTCCTACTTAATTTACCCAAACACTTAATTGAATAATCTAAATGTAAGATTATTTAGGTTAAAGGAAAATTCTAAAATACCCCCAGCAGACTCACGTGACCCTGAAAGGGATTAAGCGGGAAGGAAAAGGAATGTATTAATTTGTTTTATTATGAAAGTTTTATTTGCCTTAATTTTTTCACTCTTACTCACTAAAATCTCAAGTCTTGACAGCTTTTAACAACTGGGGAAATAAAACCACTGCAAGTTCAGTCAGGTCTTAAGGCAATTACAAGGCTTTTATTTGGAACGGTTCAGAGCAGAGCTTTCAGGCACTCTGGAGACAGAACTGTCCCAAATCAGAGTTCACTTCTCTCTGGTTTGGCTTCCACTGCTACCGATAACCTGCAAGTGTTGGATCAGTGCTCAAAATAAACATCGATTTTATGGAACGTTTTAAAGGAAATTTCCCAATGGATTAAGCCAGCAGACTTTTCACAAATGGTAACAAACAAGTAGCATTTTACGGGTCATTCTCTTCAAATGTTAAATGTTAAAAATTAAGTCTGTGGTTACATTTTCTTCAGTGCCTCTGGTATAACTTGAGCCTTTCCAATCGAGTGTTCCTGCACTGCTAGCCTCTCCCTGATCACATCTTATCCATCTATGTTACTCACTTACGCTGTGACAGATTTGCTCATTCTGTGCTTCTTAAGTCCCCTTCCACACACACAGTCATCTAAAAAGTGGAGAGCAATTAACAGCCACTCTATGAATTACAGATTAACAAGACTGGTAAATGATGTTGACCTAGTTTCTCCCATCTCAAGCTCCAGGTTTGGGGTTTTCTTGAATATTGTAGAAATGGGGATTAATTCAAGTGTTCTATGGATACATTTAAAGTGGTTGATAAGGATTAGACATGTACATTTTCTTCAAATCCTGGTCAAATAATTCCAAAATGTGAACATTTTACTTAACAGCCAGTGGTTATTTGTAGATATTGTAATATTACCAGCATTAAAAGTTAATGTTGTGAACCCGGGCAGGGATTATTTCAATGTAATCCTTGCCTCTCAATGAAGATGCCTCAAAGTTACTGATTTGATTTCAACTCTCACAAAGATAAACTCTAATCACAAACACTCCTTTAACTTGCTTCAATATTATGTAACAAGGATTATAACAGCATTGACATAACCCACAGAGATCATGTTTGGACATTACTATATGCTGGAGACATCTGACTGCACAACTGCTTAGGTTTGTTCGTGTAATGCATGTGAAGCTTAGACAAACTGTGTGTGTGTGTGGGGGGGGGGGGCTTATTAAAGCCAAGGAATCAACTACCATGTAGAGGGTACTACATTTTGAATCTAAACATGCTTCACGGTCAGCAATCTACCAATTACATACAAGTAATGCTGGAGTGAATTCTTAACCGGATGTGCTTGATAATGTTCCTATCATGTGATCAACCTGTGTGTATTGCATTTCATCCCTCCCATTAAGAATTTATCCAGAGTTGCATGATGAGATTTGGAATTGTATGTGCTTAATGTCGTAGTCTTTGTATGTGGGAGACTCCAAGTGGTACAAAGACTAGTGTTTGTGTGGGCATACATCCATGTCAAAGCTACATGATAATTGGGGCATACCATGTCTCAATAAAAGTATTAGCATCCCACCCAAGTATTAGCATCCCACCACACAGACCAGTTCAGCATCCTGTTTGTGGCCTAGTAGTCCTTTGGATGTTTATGACACTGCATACCAATGTGACTGTATCCTGAAAGGGTGAAAATTGCTGAAAAACTAATTCACATTCCTTTTGCCCAGAGTGTGCAATACACATCCTGGAGCTCTACTGTTTTGCATATGCAAACTAGGATGCTCCTGTTTTCAGTTTTATATAAATGCAAAAACAACAACAAAAAACAAACAAAAAAAACTGGAAGAACTGGTATCACGCGTAGAGCAACTCTACCTATGAAATCCGAATTTTTCTACAAAACACCTATAATACTGGCATCTTTAGACTCCGAGAGTGGTCATTTTAACAATATTTTGTCTCCCTCAAGTGGTATTTTTTTAGATCTGCACCATCTGCAAAAGGTTTATAAACTAAACGTTAACATTTAATTATCGTTTGTAAAAAAATTTGCTTTTAACATTGGGCTTAGTGGTGACAATCAGACATAAGTACATATCTGGGTAACAATTAACATTTAATGTTCAAGATTCCCACTAAGGCATTTTGCATTAAACACATCTGCATATTTTTTTTTAATAAACTAGGGTTTTATTTGACAGGTTGTGAGTGAATCCGTTTTACAGAATCGATTTAACCAATTAATTACAAAACGCTAAAATAAATGTATATTCAAAATTTCTGTATGCATAAAAACACGTAATGTTTAAAAATACAAATTAATGAAATGAAGACGTATCATATTGCGTTTCTTGACAATATCTAAATAAGTCACACGCTCCATTAATCACATGCTGTCATTGTAAACAACACTCATTTCCGGTCATGTGACAGCGTGTCATCACTGTTTGCCAACAACTGCTGCTGCATCTTCATGCCCGTTCCGTCCACTGCTTTTACATTTCGAAGCAGTCATGGAAGAAAACGATGAAAGCGAAATCATCGAGCATCACGACGACGAGGAGATGGAGAAAAGACGGACACCGTGGAGGAACCACTCGCTTTCGGATAAGGAGGGAGTCAACGGCGGTTGCAGCACGCAGCCTTCGCACCGGCTGCTCGCATACAGCGACGCACTTATCTCCATCATCGCAACAGTTATGGTGAGAGATCCCCTTTTATCAACACTCCTACGACAACTTAATATATTTACACGTGTGTTCAGGTGGGCAAATATGACCCTCTAGCTATAGCTGGTTATACTATACAGACAAATATTATAAAGTTATACACGGACACATGCATAACCCACCTTTGATTATTAGATAAGTTGCTTTTCTCTGCATATGCCCTTTGAAAAGCATTGAAATTCAAGTTATCTATATAGACATGGACAGTTCATGCCTTCAGAGGACATCTGTTACTACCAAGCAAATATCGTCCTGGCGTCGTTTATAAAACTTATGTGAAACAATATAAAACTTATTTGATGCTTCAAATCTTTTATGTTACGTTTACGATGAAAGACGTCATCTGGATTCCCATTCGTCACTATTATTGCACCTGGACTGCACGTATGGGAATTACGTCGAAATGTTTGCTGGGTATTTAATTATAGATCATAGAACTCTTTATGTTTTTAAACGTATGCTTACTCGTGATTGCAAATGCTGTGGTTTCTGTTTTCACAGATACTCCCCGTTGCACATACAAAATTTCAGGAAGATGAGGTAATATTATTGTATGGTCTTAAAAACCCTTTATGTTGTTTTTTTTTTTTTAATGAGAAACAAATTAACACTGTAACCATTCCAACATCTATCTGCCTTTGTGAGCTGGGCTAGGCACCAACAGGCACCCTGTGATCCATAAACAGATGTTGTCGCCGTTTCTTTCTGAACTGTAATTAATTGTCTCTCTGGATTCAGGAACTGAAACAAAGCATTCAGGCTTTGCTCAGCACCAAGATAGCTGTCTACCTGATGACCTTTCTGATTGTCACAGTCGCTTGGACTGCTCATATCCGGTGAGTGCGATCATTGAAACAAGCGGAAAAATATTTCCAATATTATTTACCCACTCTTTTTATTTACATATTCTGCAATCCCATTAAAGCATTTATCTTTCAGGTTGTTTCAAGTAATTGAGCGCATTGATGACACCCTTGCCCTCCTTAATCTGGTGAGAGTAGCTTCAAAATATACACAATATTATGCAACAATGACAGTTCTAAAATCATTTACAATGTTTATGTATTCCAGGCATGCATGATGCTCATAACCTTCCTGCCATACACAGTAAGTATCTCTGCTGTAGCTGATGGTCTGCATTTTTCTCTACCCACTCATTCAGAGGGCAAAGAATGTGTGTATGATTGTTTCTAGTGTGTGCCTCTTATTTTAGTTCTCGCTCATGGCCACTTTCCCTAATAATATCCTGGGCATCTTGCTCTTCTGTGCCTGTGTGATCGTGATTGGCTTAATTCAGGTGAGAAAGTAGATGCCACAGCTTAACCCTCGAGGCAGAATCTGTGTTCACGATCTCTTTGTCTCTCAGGCTGTGATTGTCTTGTATGGATTCAGTCGTCCTTTCCTCCTCAACGACCAGATCCAGGCATCTGTGAATCAGGATTATTATAAGCAGCACATTCTCAAAGTCATCATGAGGGTGCCCATCATGTGCCTGTTTGCCAGCATTTTTTCATTTATCTTCTTCCCCCTGGTATGAAGACACTTTTAAAATATTTTAGTAAACCGTTCTTCTTCTAAAAGTCAGTGAAAATGCAAGTAGTCTGTGCTAGAGTGCAAATACAGATGTAATTAATTGTTATTTTTCTGCACCATGTTTTTGGGAAAAAAATGGCAACAATTCTTCTACGTTGCGGCTGCACACAGCCTACGGCGTAGCTTCTGTGTAGAGGTAGACCCGTACTATGCAGTTTGATTTGCATCTCCCAGAAATTGTAACATTACACAAAGTAGACGTGGACAATAATGGCTGTGATTGGTTGGTCTGGTAGCGATAATATTTTTGGATTATTAGAGATGCATAAGGGATAGGGCATTTGAAATAATATGTGGTTTGTGCATTTTATGTAATACATTTCTATTTCCTTGTTTAAATGACTGTGCAGCATCTTGGGTAGCTGTGCTGTGTAAAATGTGCTTTATAAACATATTTTACGGAATTACTCTCTCTTTTTTTGCTTGTAGTCCTACGTCCTTTTGGCTATTGTCATCTTCCTGCCTTACATCTCTCAGTGTTTACAGTGGATCCGGAGTAAAGTCCTTGGGGGTGAGATTTGACTCTTCCACGAATCAGAAAGAATTTTTATTTA